AATATCCCCAGTGATGTTGCAAATGTCACTGCAAAACTGGATTATAGTCAATGTGTATATTCTGTATAGAGAAAATTCAGCAAAGCAGATTATCTTGTGATGTGAAATGATGTTTTTGATCTCTAGTACAGTCCATATTTAACTGAAAAAAACTTAACTGAAGTTTTATGAGGTTAATTTATTTTGTCAGAAAGTAGAGATTTTGAGACAAAGCAAAACTTAAATAACACACAAACCAAAATATTAAAAGGAATATAATACGTCTACAGCTATCACATATTAGCAAAATTGATCCAAAGTGCAACCAGTTTTCTTTCCAGCACATTCCCTATAATGGGGTTAATGTGCAAGTGGCGGCCTCCATTTATACAGAAGGATTTTTATTTTTAACATCCCAGATTATTGTACTTATCTACTCCTAGAAAATATGCACTGTATAAACATATCCTTTATCTTGAACTTCAGTATTTCTGTGCTTCCATGAAGAGTAAAAACATCTGGTTAAATTACTATGTGCAAGTACAATATGCAGGCAAAACCCTGTACCAATTGCATCTAAAATAAACCACGGCTTCGGTTCTTTTTGCTTTTCCAAATGTCCAGCGTGAGCAGTCTGTTGAAATCGCATCCCTGATATGTGTCAGCACGATGATAACTCATGTACCAAGCTTCTTTTCTGAATAAAATCAAGTTCTGTTCTTGTTCTGCAGCTGCCAATGTTTTAAAGTTTGATTCTGCTATGTGTGTTCCCCCCAACAAACGCCCCCCAAAGTGGACTGGCACAAAGTGTTGCACAGCAGCGGCGATGGCTCCAAGGGACTGGCTGGACGGAGTTGTCATGTGTCTGCCTGTCTACACTTGCTGTGCAGAACATCCTCTCACCTGTACAGCAGGCACAGACAGGCAGTCGCATGACAACCCAGCCTGAGGGACAGCCGCCAGTGGGACCCCGCTCTGACAGCCCAGAGCATCCGCAGCACCAGCTCCAGCCAAGAGTCGCTCTGGACCTCAGACGGCCGGTCAGTCACCAAGCCCAGAGTCAAAGCAGCGCTGCCTGTGAAGTACAATAAAACCCACTGCTGAAATTCTTACTGTGCTTCCTATAGTGCTCTTTTCCTAGTTGTTCTCATCAACTCGCTACCAGTAATTTATTTATTAGGAATTTATTAAGTGATTTATCCCAGCCCTGCGGTACCTCCGTATGTTCTGCTCTCCCGTTTGCTTCCCAGGCATCACTCGATTCTTGCTGTATAAAACTCCCTGACATTCCTGCTCGCCACAGAAGCCAAGAGCAGCTTATTGTGTGGCGAGTTCATTCTGTAAACATACACCATGTCAGACCTTGGAGTAACTTCTCCCCTTTCCACTCTCTCACCTCCTCACTTATTTTTATCATTTCGCTCTCAAATCTCACATAATTTTACAACAGGGAACTGTAAAATTGTAATACACAATTATACAAAATTATAATACAAACTGCATCTATCACTGGATGTTGACAATAATATCGCTTACTATTGGAATAGAATGGAAATATTTTCTTTGGAAGTAAGACTAAAGGAGATTTTTCCCCACCAACGTAAATTTCACATTTTAGAAATTCTAATCCTGGAATCCAGCTTGGCATCCTTTCTCAATGAAATCTCTGGATGCTTTAGAGAAAATAATAAAACCACATTCTATGGCCATGCACTGCAACAATGCTACATCACTTTACGAATGGCATCCGTATCTTCACAGTAAAGAGGTTTTTTATTCACAAGTTAGAATGACATTCCACATTCCCAAAGTCTATTTCATCCTAATGCAGAAGTGGCTAATTCACAAAGCTCAGATTTGCAGGCTGACTCTCAAATGAACTTTAGTTAATGCTACTTAACAAAACAGTAACAACTGAGAGCTAAAATGCTCAGATTTAATAATTCGTGTGTGTAGGTGTGCCTTATAATGCTTCAGCTAGGATTACGTGGAAATATTTACAAAATAAATCTGTATTTGTGAGGTCACTGAGTGTGCTAATACTGCACTTGTCTACAGCAGCCTCAAAGCCAGCACACAGCACTTTCCTTGCTTGGTTTTTAAGTAGAAAAGCACAAAGTCATGGTATTGGTCACACAGCAAAGTTACAAACAGAAGCAACTGCATGCAGGATCAGAAACTAATCCACGTTAGTTCTCACAGAATGGATACTGTAACTGCTCTAAGCAAACATCAACCTGGAATTTCCAGCTACAAGTCTAAGAAGGATTTTTAGGCACTGAATCCCTCTCATCAGGAATAAAATCCTGGTCCATGCTTGACAGCAACAAAACCATGTGAAGAAACCTATTGTTTCTTTTCTAATACTGATATCATACAGCAAAATCTGAAATCTTTTGTCAAAGCAACTTGTTTCTGAATGCATTACACTGTGGATTTATCACTTACAAAGCTGCACCTCACAAAGGAATTTGCATCCTTCTAAAGGCACTAGCGAGCCACCACCAGTGATTTTGATCTCAGAGCAAATTCCAGACTAGAAAACAGGCTCAGCTTACACTAGAGGGGGTACACAGCCCTGGAGGCCCCAGCAGGCACCGGAGCTTTGCAAAGCACATTGGCAGAGCTCTGTGGCACAAAGCTGCTGCAGCCTTGGCTACAGGCACAGGGGGCACAAACTCCTCAGCAGGGCAAGGTGAGAGCTGACCCTGCACCTTCTCCAGCTGCCATGGAAAGGCTCCTGGCCAGCCCGAGCAGGAGCTGGGGGCTCTCAACTCCCCTCGCAGGGCACAGCCAGACACACAAACACAGGGATCACTTCTCACATCTCACTGGGGGAAAACACCCCCACACAGCCACTCCAGCCATCAGCTGAGGAGCCTTACTGGTTTTTCAGTCTTACTGAGAAGGTCCAGAAAAAAAAAGAAAAAAATTTAAAATTTAAAAAAAAGCAAAAAATCATAACTTTATAAACTCTTTTTCAGGACACAATAATCAAATTATGCAGCTAATCTGTACTTAAGGAGCAGCTTCTTCCACCAGCAGAGTATGGAATAGTACTCTGCTATTATCCTATGCTATTATCATCCTACCATTCTAAGAAATTCCTGAGTGATCTCCCATGGCCTGAATTAACTACTGACATTTTCATGACTCTCAAAACATAACTGTTTGGCAATTAAGAGACATTATCTTAAAAATATGCATATGGAAATCACACAGTAGCCATTTCTTTCTGAGTATTTTCATGAGCTTCCCAGGTGACTCCCCCCAGCAGATTATCAAAACTATTTAATTTTAAAGTTGCACAGCACAAAACATACCATTAGGATTTTCAAGAATTTTTGTATTTCACACTAAACAAAAATCAGATTAAAAAAAGCAACAATACAACTACCTAAAAAAATTGCCACAGCTTATCTTGCATGCAACTCCAACTGCTTGAGACAAAATACAGCAGGTGTGTTAATTTTGCCACATTGCTTGTTTTAGTAACAGTTGCCTGGATCTTACCTAAAAAAGCCAGTTCTAGTGACTTCAAGATAGATCACAAAAAACAACTGCTTCAAATTTTCAAATCTGTAAAGTCACTTTTGCACTTTTTTCAAATTCTATTTCAGCAATCCGAGAGTAAAACTTCCCCTCTTGACACCTGTCCCTTCCCCTCTGCCTGACACTGATTTTTCTGTTCCACCAAATCTGAATCCCTTTAAGACTTAAATAAAAAGGCAAGTGGCAAAATCTTCAAGATTAACCTAATTTGTCCCTCTGCCTTAAAGTCTATCCCAAAATGGCTACAGACTGGGGGAAAAAAACCCATTTGTGAGCAGCACAGTTCCCACCCTCAGCAGCTTTATGGAAAGATTTCCACATCCTGGTTTTGCAGGACTTGGGAGAGCTCTGCCTTATGCACTGCAGGCCCTCTCCCCAGGGCTTCCAGAAAATCCACTGCAGTAAAACACCATGTTAGATTAAACAGAATATGAATCTGCACAGTCCCCATCAACCTGTTTTGTTGGGATCAACCAGTGTTTTGATTATTACTTACAGTAAGATGAAAAGATTGAGTGATGTTTTAGAGCTCATTTAAAGCTTTCTCTTTACCTGTGCTTCTTCCATCCATCGGTTCGCCTCAACAATCACTAATTTCTTACTAAAAACATTTCAATTTAAAAAAAAAAAAAAAGGAGGGGGGAAATACCCAAATAAGAAATAATAGTTGTTTTTTTTTTAATGTAGCCCTATTTTTCTACACAAACCTAGAAACTCACAAAGGTTTTACCATAAATCTGATAGCACACATAATCCTGTTTCAACCTTCAAAATATTGCTGGAGTATTGGATAAAATGTATCATTACACCCATTGTTGAAAAAGTCATTAAACAGAACAGACAAGCTGCCTAACAATATATTCAAAGTGAGCAACGTGGCTGTCCTTTTCTTTATTTCTGTATTACTCACCTCAGATTTACTGATCACCCATGAAGGTGCATTTTGTAAAAATCCACACCAACCAGCTACAGAACCCTACAGATGGGCTTTTCATCTTCTCAGAACACATGACCAGAGAACAGTTGTTTTTATTAAATCAATTGCTGTAGTTACTTTCAGAAGTAACTTTACTCAGATAATTTATGATCAACTTGCAGTAGGTGTACAAGAGCAACCCAAGCAAGGATAGGACAATAAGCAGAATATTTCAAAATAGCTTGGGATTTTTTTCCTTTTTTTTTTCTTTTTTAAAGCAATGTGTGGAAATCACAGGAAGAGAAGAAAAAAGTAAAACAAAAATACCCCCCACACACCACACCCCCTATATTTGTTATCAGCATTTCCATACAAGTCTTAGACAATCAGCATTCTCCATGAATCAAACCAGAAATTTAAAGAACACATCTAAAACCTTAAAACAATCTTTTACTTCAAGTTTACACAAACTCATTAAATATTTTGATATCAGAATACTGTATTAATACTGGGGTTTTCCCCAACAGAAAAAAAACAGTTCTTCATTCCTTACCTCATCATCTTTATACCAGGACAAGCTCTCTGCAGTCAGAACGAACCAGTATTCCTTGGATCCTCCTTTCATGATGCCAATGTTGTTGATGGTGAGCCAGCCTTTCCGGATGACCTATGCAGGAGTGCAGTCAGGTACAAGTTTAGCTCATTACTCACTTGACAGAGTTCTGCTGTTGAATTCATTCATTTAAATAAAGACTTGCTAAATGAAACAACAACAGGTGCATTTTTTCAGTCTCTGGGAAATTCAAAGAGTTTTTGCAGGTTTCTAGCATTGAAAACAAAAAAAAAAGAAGAAACAAAGTGAATATACAGTCTGAAGGTTGGAGAAAGAGAGAAGCCTAACTATCAGAATGTTGTGCTTACAGCAAGTGTGAGTGTGTTAAGGATCATGTAAGCTTGAAGATATTTATTTGCTGTATATGAACACAGTGTGAAAGTCCACATACAATGTGGATCTCTGACTACACTGTTCTGGTCTAATTTTTGAGGTCATTTCTAAAGGTGGGTACCAGGAAAAGCACCTAAATTCTGGTAAAATGAGTGGCTTGTGACACACATTGGGAATTTTCAGAAGTGGATGTATGGAGTGACAAAGGAGAGAGTTCTCCTAAAGTTCAGTTAAAATTAAGGCAAGCTCTAAGGAGAGGCATGTGAGAGCCATTTTCTTTTCATAGGATAGAAGAGGAAAAGGGGGGAAAAAAAAACCTTAGGTAGCAATAAAAAACAGGGGGAAAACAGGTAAAGCAAAATTTTGTAGAAGAGATACAAGCCAAAGACGAAAGAACAGATGGGAACATACCTATAAATACTAAGACCAGAAGTCTACATCATGCACAGAGAAAGGGGGACAACAGAAACCTAAGAGAAACAGACTCCACAGCAGAAGAGGATAACCATGAAAACTCATTTACAGATGAGACAGAAACTTTCCATTTTATTGGAACAGTGACTGTTTTCCAATATAAATGAGAAAGCAAACATTCCTTTCTATCATGCTCTGGACAACAGAACCTTCCCAATCACAGATGAAAGGAACCTCAGCTCTTCTCCTTCTCGCCACAGCAACACCCTTCACTTGCCAGTGAGATATTGAGACAGAAAAAACTGCTCAGAGAAGCTCTTCAGAACCTCTCAACAAACCCCACAGGCACTGACTTGTGTGATCAAACTTGAGTTTCCTTTTGTATTCAAATAAATATATGAGACCAACATCCTCTCACAGGGCTTGACAAGACCAGTAACTCCAGTACCAACAAGTCACAAAAGAGGAATATGGCTCACCATGTATTCTTTGTCATCTATGAAAGTTTCAGAATCAGAATTCACTCTTATTCAGCCTGGATGATCATGTAAGCTCCTAAAAAATACCAGCTTTGGTTTTGCACAGGGTAAAGGAATGAATTGATAACTAAACCAAAAAAGTTGCACCTGAAAAGCAGGAAATTGTATTGGGAATGCAGATAATCCAAGGGTATCAATTTCATTTCAAGGAAGATAAACGTGTTTTCCCATTTACTACCAACCAGCACAGCAGGGTAAGAAAAGAAGATCCAAAAACCAGACTAAGTTTTCAGCCTGTATGAAAATCTCTAAGAAAGAATTGATTTGAGGGATGAGAGAACTGGACAGGATTCCTGTAAAGACTCAAGGGAATGAACAAGCAGATGAGATGGGATAGGCTGTTCCACAAAGATTTCTACAAAAGTGGGTCAGGCCTTTTAATATTTGTGTTTATTGGGAGGAGGAGGGGGAACCTAAGTGGAGAGGGGCATTAGTGAGTACAAACACACATGGAATGCTTGCCTAAGTGCAAGTTAAGGGAAACACTGATAAGAACTTGATTGCCCATCAAATCCTCATTTTATTTTATGATGTTTATTGAAGTAAGATTTTAACAGGAAACAAGTAACATGTATATACAGCCAGTGTATTGGCCTGCAGGCAGCTGCCACAGGACAAGTTGTGGAAACAAACTAATTCTATTTTTTCTTTCTGCACTGAACTACAAAAAAAAGCAAAGGGGAAAAAATTTGGGGAAAAGCAACATAATTAAGGTCCTCCATTCACTTGAACTTAGTTCTGCAGCAATGAGAGCTGTTTTTGTGCAACAGACTAATTCCTTCACAGCACATGTGCACATGTTCCCATGCTATAAAGCAGCTGTAATAAGAGGCTGGGAGAGAGGATGCTGTTGAACCACATTGTCTGCAACTGAAAATGCAATGTTGCCCCATATAAAGCTCATATCCACACACAGGAAGCCCAGGCAGCCTGGCCAGCACCTGGTTTGGAGAAAAATGTTTTGGAGAAATATCTCAGGGAAGAGAAAAGATTTGAAAACTGAAAATAAAGAGGTGGTTTCTAGTAGCAAACCAGGCAGGAACACCTAAGCAGCAGGTTCAAGAACCTTACAGGTGATGAGCACTTCAAAGGGAAGGGAAGGAGAACTCTCTGCTTGTTCCATCCTCTCCCTCACCACAGGCTCTGTGACAGCTTTGTAAGGGTCCAATTTTCCCAATTTGACAAGAAGGCATTTGTGGTAGAGGTCTCAAAGCAGACCAAGCCGACATTTAAAAAACTAAATTATACAAACCATTTAAGAAGCACTGAAGGTTTTAGTACTACTCAGGCAGGAATTGTGTCATGCTCCAGCCCAACACATCTCCCCATAAATGTGCAACCATCACGGGGTTTGGACAGAAACAAGCTGACTTGCTAGGACAATCCCTGGTCACTGTCTCGTAAAGGAAGGAATTTGCCAGTTGTTTCCTCAAAAATCCTGTGTGCCAAGGATTAGATCCAGCTGTCATTCCCACACAACCCTGCAGGAAGAGCAGGACACCAACCTACAGCGATATTCTCGGTGTGTGTTTTTCATGTCAAATTTCTAGACCTGTTTATCTATACCCCTCTGGGAAAACAGAGTACTGTGTTCTGTAAAATATCCTGGACTCTACAACAGGTCATAACAATCTAAAATACTAGGAAGGTGTTCCAGGGGACACCAAGAGGGAGAAGATGAGCTTAGTGTGCTAAGCTCCATGTCCTTTTCATTGAATTCTCCTGTCCCAGGCACATTCTGTTAACTATAAAAAAGCATACCTTACAGAGGACTCAGCATCAGTGTTAGATGTAAAGTAGAGGGAGATGTTGGACCAAGGTGTAATGCAAGAAAAAGTGAGATTAAGGAACATAGTTCCACTTTCCAGAGAATCTGAATGACATCTTAGACTCTGGCCAAATTCTCAAAAAAAAAAAACCAAACAGAAAATGAACCCTCCAGCCGTACTTTAGAACTGCTTCTCCACAGGCAATAAGAAGGAAATATTTTCAAAGACATTTCTGAAGTTAAAAAAACCTCTGATAGAGAGTTATTATTTTGGAGTTCTTTTTAACTGTTGTGTTAGCTATGTTTTATAGTACCTCTGCTTGGAAAATGAAAGCACTGTGTTTCATTATTGTTCTCACTAGTTCATTTTCTCACTGGCTTGTATCTAAGAGATACATTTCACTACTTTCTATCATATTTCTAAATGTCATTCTGTGCAGAGCGGATGTTAGTGAAATGAGTTATGAACCTCAGGAAGGTGAAAAATATGGGCACAGCCAGAAGCTACTGGAGACAATATTCTGACCGGTAGCTGGACTCCATGCACAGGATGAACAAGAGATGACACAGTTCCTTCCTTCAGGATCCTGATACCTAATCTGGGTGACTGAAAAATGAAACTTAAGAGCCTCTGAATGCACATGAACAAGTCAGAAGGAAATAATTTTCTCATAGTTCAGCTGCACAAAACCCAAATCATATTTGCTGTCCTTACTCTCCACCACTTCATGGATAAACAGGAAAGCAGGATTTGACACAATATGCACAATTTATGTGTTGCTGCATGACTTTAATTGTATTAAATCAAATAAGGCATTTGTAAAAGAAATATATTTAAGGAAATGGGACACTCTCTGATTCTCTAAAGAAGCATTTGAAGGATGATTTCATGATAAGTGCGATACATGAAACTGGGCAGATAGAAACACAAGTGTGAGAATCATAGGACTGGACACTCCCACAACACCACAAGCAGCAGCACTTGTTAATGTAACACCATTAAAGTTGTGTTGTGTAACTCCAGTGGAATAATTCTGAACACAGAACACAAATCCCAGGACCACTCTACCTTCCAGACACTGTCATTACAACATGTGCTACCGATCAGTAAGCACATTGAGAAAATAAAAATCACAAAAAGTAGTGAAAAAAAAAATCCTTAAAGCTGTTGGTTCTCTGGATTCAGTCATGAAGATCCTCACACTACAGAGGCTTTAATTAGAGGGGAAACCTACTACAGTATTTCACTGTAACTTGCCAAATGTCACAGCAAAAACAGATCAGATCTGTTCTGATACTGAACATAACCAAGATCTTGGGACATTGCTTCCCTACAAATCACTGCACAATATATTGCACAACTTAAAACTAGTGACAGTGCCTAAAGTCCTAAAAATATGTCTGCTTTAAAGAAAGATTTAGTCTTCAATGGAGCAAAGCTCTCAGGGGTGAATTGAAATCCATTTCCAAATACACTTAAACAAAGACTGAGGTAAGTCAAACATGAAGGGACATTAACCTAAAAGTTAAAGGCCATCTAGAACATCAGTACTCCCCCAGACTTGATAAAGTGAAAATTCAAAACGAGCAGGTCTCATGCTGCTAAATTTTGAAACATTTTTGAATGTTTTAGCTCATGGCCACCACCTCTTTCATAGAAATACTGACATTTTTTAACGGAACAGCTTTGTCATGATTTTTCACGACCACCTCACTGACCATGGCACAAGTCTCCACTTCCTTCTCATTGCTTAAAAAAATTGTATAAACATTTTTTCCCTGGGTCATGCAAGATAACAAGATTTAAGTGTATCTGAAGAAAAGAAACAGCAAAGTATGCTACAAATTAGGATTAAAATAAAAAAAAAAAAAGAAAAGGAAAAAAGGGTTACTAGGGGAAAAGTTACTTATTAGAACTATAGTTCAGGCCAGCTGGTGGGGTCTGAATGCTACTTGTGTCCAGAAGAAATTAATCAGAAAATTAATCAGATTGTTGGTGTAACACTGAAGAGAGGCAGGTCAAACAAAGCCCTCAGACCCAAACCTCCACATCACCTGGACAGTGCCTTGAAACTCACAGCCCACATTAAGCCCCTTCTCCAGTTACAGGGCTACTAGTAATTGTAGCAGTAGCAGTACAGATATTCTGTGGCAGATTTTGCCACAGAAGCAAAGCACAGAATTTCCTATAAATTAGATATAATCCTCTATAATTTGAGTGTCTTGCATTCTCACACACATCAATTGGGCACATGGAGCAATGACACTTTCATCTTTAAAGCTTTATCGTGAAGGGGAGCTTAAAACATTGAATTTTAGTCACCAAAACAAATCTCAGCACACAACATGCATAATTAAGAGCGGGTCAGCTTTCAGGAGCCAAACCTTGCTGGTGTGCTGTGTAAAACCAAGCATTGCACAGATTACTTCAAGCAAATGAGAAGACAGACTAACCTGTGGCTTAAAAAGAAACTTTGTGGAGTCAGGTCAAAACCTCAGGCGGTAGCAAAGAAAAGACAAACAAAAAAGGCCAAAGATTAAGCATGAGAAGATAAATTAGTAGTAGAGGAAAAAGGAGAAAAACATGCTAAGAGGAATTTGCATTATTGTCCAAAAATAAGGTGTTGCTGTGCTTATCTTATTTCCAAGATACACAGAAATAGTTAATAGTTATGTGCATCATTCCAGTCCAAAGCAAGCTACTGAAAAAGAAAAGCAAGGTATTGCAAATGAGCATCCCAGTATTTTGGGAAAATTCAGTGATCTTGATCTCCCCCCAAGGGGTTCAATTCAATTGCTGCTAAAATCAGTGCTGCTAGTCCTTTTTCCATAACTGAACAAAAGTTTTGTTTAAAATGATAACTAATAGAATTTGATGATGTGGCAACAAACTGAAAAAATGTATGTTTTTTATCACAGATATTGCCAAAGAATACACACAATACAGAAATTTATTTCTTACACCTTACCATCACTGAACACTGTAACTTGTTATAAAATTAACTGCAGTTTAGACAATTAATTCTAATTAGTAATATTAAAGACATTCACATATTTATTCACTCATGAGGTGGAAGGGTTAGAAAAGAGTCTGTCCGTGATAAATTGATCCTCCTGGTGCTATGAAAAGAATGCTAAAAAGGCTTTAAATATTTTCATTCATAAAACTCACTTTTTCTATCCAAAGTAATTCCTTGACATAAACAAACCACCAAGAACAGTACCTGTGTCCATCAACAGCACCTTCATTTACACCAGAGCTAATGTTTCCTTTTGGTTACCAGAAAATTATTTGCCCACCTTTCAAAGAGAGGTTTACTATGAATAGAGGCACTTACATCAGATAAAAACTGCTTTCCAGTTATATAATAAAATCAACACAAATTAGTCGTTTCAGTTGGAGAAACTTGGTAAATTATAAAAATATTAATTCTATGCAAAATTAATTCTATGCAAAGTCTTCTACAACATTTTAAGTTATACTAGTTCAGACTGGTAACAGCAGGTCAGTAGCAGTTAGGTGATGAACTGCAATTACACTTTGTTGAGGAAGTGTTACAGACAAGACAGCTTAACATTAAATTGTTTAGCAGCAAGTATTCGACAAACCAATGAGTTAGAGACAAACTTTGCCCTCTGAGAAGCTAAATGAAAAAGCAACAATAAAGCTTACAGAACTTAGCTCGTACAATTTGCCTTGAAGGCGGTAGATTGGTTCCCTGAAATAGCAAATTGCAAAAATGAAGTTTTATTTCAGAAACATTTTCTCATTCTTTTCAACTCCAAACAATCAACTTACAAACATCTGTTTATTATCTCTACAATAAAAGGTTCAGCAAAGTCCTTTATACCACAAGTAACCAAGTTTCAACATTGAATTTAAAACTCCAAGCTTTTTCTTCACTTCTTTAGAGAGAAAACATTCACTCAATTAAGAAATCATTCATTTTATTTGTGTATTTTTGAAGAGCCAGATAATTGGTTGCTTTTCCTTTTATGGGACACTCCAAAGTGATGACAGTCGTTGTGTTTGACACATGTTCCGGCACAGCTAGATAAGGAGGAAATCTCTCCTCAGAGGGGAGAGGCTGCTCTTTGAAGCCATTGCAGTGTTTAGACCTTCCAGGTTTGTTTTTTTTTTTCATTTTAATCCAAACCATATATTACATCAAAAATGCCACTCATGCTGGTCAGGCTGTGGGGAACCATCACATCTAAGAAGCTGCTGGATTATTTTAAGAAATATATTGCAAATAACTAGCAATTTCTTGGTGAGAGGAAGAGATTGAATTTCTAGCTCCAAAAAGATGGAGCTAGAACAACAAGCTTGTCTACAACAGCAGCAGAATAGGAGACTTTCTGAAATTTCAGGTTTATCACTTGGATTTAAACTCAATGGTCACATTTGAAAACCTTGATCAGGAGGTGAAAGTTCCTGAGCATTGTTTGACCAAATTGCAGGTAAAAACATCAGGAAGATTTTCAATATTGGTAATTAAACAAAATTTCATCGTCTTATTTTTGCTACTATTTCTTATTTCATTCTCAATATGTACTAATTCCATAACAAATTTTTTTTTCTGCTTAAGACTTTGCAAAAACCTCGAAGTGAGCAGAAACTCTCCAAATCATAGCACTTTTCTAATTTTCATCTGATATTAAGAAGAGGACTGATCCTACCAAGTACTCAGAACCCCTGACCCACACAAAAAGCAGAGAAGGCAGGCAGGCTCAGGAGCACCAAGCACCTTGCAGAATCAATCCCACATTCTTAAGTTAAAAAAAGAATCAATTTCATTAATGAATCTCAGTGAAGATGCTAATTAATCTGAGAGCATCATCATTCTTTGCTTATTTTGAGAAAGGCCTATGGTACATAGTCAACAACTGTGTGATGTCAGCTGAAAGGTTTCAGAAGAGGAAAAGACAAATCCACATTTGCTTGCTGACTTGCCCTTCACTGCTGTTCAGCTGTGAACACATCAGGAGTAGCAAAATGCACAAAGCACACACAGGCAAGTACTCACCATCATTCGGGATCCTGAAATTCACAAGTTTGCAGTTAATGACAAAATACCAATGTGTAACATGAGAGATTCAAGGCACTGAACAGCAGGGGAAGGAAGACACTCAGCAGCAGTGCAAGCAGCAGCAGAAATGCTAAACAGTAAATGACGGTAACAATGGAAGTCAGGTGGCTTTGAAAAGTTCAGCAAAACAAGGCAATGAGGACACATTTATGTATATTTGAAGCAAACAAAGCTAAATGATATGCTTAAAACAGAAAATGCAGCCATGAAAACCAAACAGCTTGGATTAACTTGCACATGCCATTATCCATTCTCTGTTAGGTGCCTACCTGATTTCCCACTGCACTTTTGTTAACCTGACTGCTTCTTTGTTGGGCACTAAGGGAAGCAGAGGAAAAGAGTTATGCTGAAGAAACTTGAACTAAGCCAGTTCCTGAGGAATAATTTTAGCAGTAATAGTTATTTTTGATTCCAGAAGAGAAAGCTAGATTAACATAGCAAAAGAAACACAGGAAAACCATTGCATATAGGTGCATATTTCAACTGCTTTTCTGCCTGATTATATTTGCCTGCTAAGGACAGAAGGGACAAGCACAGCAGACAGTTCCTACCAGTCATCTCCTTTGCAGTAACATCCTTCTTGCATTGGTAACGGTTACTAAAAGCACAGGGAAATTATAGCTCATGTGGGTAACTTTGGAAACATTAGCCTCTATAAATATTCAGAAGAGACAAAAAGCAAGCCATTTCTGTTATTTAGAGCAGTACAGCAAAATCCTCCCCTGCTGGAGGCTCCTTAATAGCTTTGTCTTGACAGTTTGTTTTGGGTATTATTCTAATATTTATATGCACTTTGAGGGTGTAAATATAACCAATGGATGAAGCCATCATAAAGCTGGTTCAAAGCTGAAATCTTATAAGAATAGAGCACATTTGAAATTAAACCATATTTAAAATATTTTGCTCAATTCTTGAACTCTGATAATCCCAGTTCCTGAAACAAAACACACTCCTGTCTCAAAACCAAACAAGTTGCCATTAATTCTAAAAGCATTTGCATTATGTGGCAGTTTGTTTTAGGCCACAAAATTAAAATATTGCTGGAAAGAAGAAGAAAAGCGTTCTGAGAGTAGGCTTTGGCTACTCAGCCACCAGTACTTCACTGGTGACAGGAAGTTTTGTTTGGATTAGATTATACTATTTCACCAGGCATTGATTCACTGAAGAAAAAAATATCATTATTCCAGCAGCTCCAAAGGCTGCTCTGACAGAGAAAGGCAGAGAGGTGTGCTTGGGTCAGAGCCTGTGGCCAGTCCTGCTGTTTGGTGCTGCTCCAAAGGATTGAGAAGCACCCAACTCAACTCTTGTCCAAATTCTGATCCTGCCCTTTGGACCACACTATCAAACCAGCAGTCCACATGCTGTCTGGAAGAAGATCCACAAGGATATTTATTCCATCTGCCTACTCAGTGTGTTTAGCTCAATCATCCCAATCCTTTTAACCAAACAAGACTGCATGTCCCTGGTGCATCATCTAAGTTCTATAAGCTTTGATACATAAATTATGACTAAATGAAATGCACACAGAAAACACAGCACTAATCTCTAGTTTGTTTTCTTAATTTCATCACCTTAGAAAAGCTAATTATACCATTAACACCATACTAAGAAACCCATGTCTTTTAGAAATAGCCCAGCAATTGGTCCTCTACTTAATGTTCCAAGTACAAATTACTCTTTATGTAGATTGAAGCATGTAGCTGTTCTTAACTTATACCAACTGGAAACAAACCCAAGCCCAGAATTTTGTCATTTGTTCTGCCAAATGAGACAAACATTAATATTCTAAAATTTGACAACTTTATAAATATGCAAATTTGTTGTAAACACTGGCATGGTTAAAGCTCTTTCAAGACAATTCCCATTGCACTGTACCTGCCTCAGGTCCTGTAGTGCTGCAGGGTCGTTTGTAATGTCTCGTGCTCTCATTCTTATGACCAAGGTTCACAGGACTTACACTGTTACTGCAGCCACATGAGACAGGGGGCTAGAAGGCTCAGCAAAGGAAAGGAAACACCAGGGAATCTGGTGGATCTGTAGTCCAGGATGTTTAGAAGCCCCTATGCTACCCAACTTACTTCATTTTCCAGTTCTAACATAACTGCTGTAACAATAATACACTTAGAGCTTCAAATTAGTATTTTCTCCTGTTCGTCTCATAAGTAAATGTATTTTAACTTATTCTTTGCTATCCAAATTTTCTCTTTTAGTTGAGCAGAAGTCAACAAGGCTACTTTTCCTCCCATCTGTTCCAACCTTGCTTAAACTTACCAGTGAACTTATGCCAAGAGTTCCCTTACTATCTGCTTATGCCCCATACACAGCACTTAGGGATTTCCTGATCTCAGCTGGCAAAAGAGGAAGTAGCTTTCCCAAGAAATTGAATTCCAATTGTAAAGACACAGCAGCAAGGACCATGGAGGGTGCAGGAGCAGCACCCCTGAGGGGAATTTTTCCAGGGGAGAAACATAATGAAATAGCTACAGATACACCTGGAATTCCAGAATCCAATACTATAAAATATGGAAAGTTCCAACTTGACACAAGGAAAAGTCTTTTCACAGTGAGGTGAGGCAAGCATTGAACAGGCTAGCACAGAAAGGCTGGAGGATCTCCAATTTTGGGAATTCTCCAGATCTGATTGGACAAAAACCTGAGCAGCCTGGTCTGAACTCAGCATGGCCCCTCCTCTAAGCGGGAGGTGGGACTATACAACTTCCCAAGGTCACAACACACACCATGAATATACATGGAGTGTTTTTAGCAGCCTTTTTCCTGTCAGAAAAGGATGAAGAGTAGTAAATAGCAGGCAGGTTGTTATCTTGACCTCTAGAAGGCCAGCCACCATTCCTACAACATCCTGTCATTTGTCAAGAGAGCTGATAACAACATCTAGGACCCGAAAACAATTCTAGAGAAAGTTGCTCAAACCAAACACATAAACAGTGCCTGGCTTTGCCTTCTCCCCTCTCAGCTTACTGAACTCCATGTTTTAAACCTTCAAGGCACACTGCCAATGATGTGGACCTTCCTTCACAGTGCTAACTAGAATTGGCCAGATGTATACATCCTGTTGTGCCAAAATTTGTTGCCAGCATTTCACAGGGCCGAAACCTGTTGTGATTCCAATTGCTGTTATGGCAAATATGGCATGAATATGTCTGAAGGAACATTTCTTCTTCAAAGAGTGAAGACATCTTCAGTGCTTTTACTAGTGTCAAAATGTTGGTATGAAGTCCCTGAGGCACAAATTGCTGGAAACTGAGGGAGAACATTCTGGAAAATATTCTCACAGCCTTTTCAATTAAGCGAGGAGAACGTCAAACCAGGCCCTGCAGGGCATTCTGCTACTATTATTCTCTGCAGCCAAACAGCAGGCACACTTATAATTCAGTGACATCCATTATTCTGAGTAAAACTGTTTCACACAGCATCACAGCTCCCAAAGTATGCATTAATAACAATGTGGAAAGACCACCAATATCCATTTCTGTGGTCCTGAAATACGTGTGATTCCAGACCAAGACATAAGCTCCAGCTCCAGTGAAACCAGGCTTGTGAACTGGGTGAAGACTCCCCTGCAACTGGGACAGAGTTCAACATTGTGGCTATTGAGAAAGAGCATGGTCCTGCATGTTTGGGACTCTACAGCCCGGATCTTCACTGTCACACTTCAGGACTTATGTTCTGAACTTAATAAAAAAACCCTAAGCAAATAAACAAAAAAGCCTGGAAGTGTCTTTATAACAAATTTTCCATATACTTACTTTGCAAAGCCAATGAAGTCTTCATGGTTGGTGTTGATATAAGAAACCTGGATATCAATGAGCAGCAGCATCTATTATGGGAGACAGGAGAGCAAAACAGGATGGGTAAGGTGGAAGAGAGAGATTGAAGAAAAAGAAGGTAGAAAAAACCCCAGAACCCTTGAGTCCTCTGCATTACTGAATATTGTTTTCATAATTGTTCAAGCCAAAAGCAATATTTTTTAAATTCCACCGCTTCTGTTTCTGTGCTTGTTTAATAAGTTAAGACTACAGAAGTCCTATTCCCTCTTCCTACTTTTTTTCCTAACAGACCTCATTTTTCACTCTCTTGGCTCTTGTCCATTCCATTAAGATCAATCATACATGGGCAGAGAGAATGTTAATAACAATATAACACAGATTCCAGCTCTGCATTTTGCAAGTTAAGCAAATTTCTGCCTATCTGGAGCATTCCAGCCAAGCCAGCAATCTACCTAAACCTTAAAACCTAAAATCCAGGTACCTTCACTTTCTTTATGTATCACACAAAGAAGTGTAAGTAATCCAGTCATGGCCCAGAAAATGTCCAGCCCAGGTACCAGCCAGCCATTCTAGTGTGCAACATCTGGATTGAGAGATGGGCTACCAACAAAATAACACAATGGTTTGTGTACTTATCACTTGTCAGTCCTTCAGTAGCCCACAAAGAATTCGATTCAATCTTGACAATCTAACTCAGCAAAGAACTTGATAAAATATCAGCAAAAATTCCTTCCCACGCTCCAACAGGCTCTGGAATATGCATGAGACTGCACTTCATCCCTGTCTTTTCAGACTTTAATTTATCAGAGGGAGCAAGGAAGGAACCTATTGTTACCAAATGGTGGCATTTAATCTCTTTAACCTTACTTCTGCACAGTTCCTCAAATATGGCATCACTCCCAAATTCTTCACAATTTCCAGAAAATACTAGATGCCTCACTTTGACTCAAATCCCCACTATGTTTTTGCTCCATTTCTTACCTCTGAAAATATTCTCACTCCTGTTTTTTTAGGATTACTGCTAACATCATAAATAATGATGTGAATGTGACAATAACCTATTTGGTCCATTTTTGGCATTTACAAAAAGCCTGTATTTTGTTCTTTGTTCTAAGAAATAGTAAGGTGTGTACAGAGAATGAAGAACAGGAAAATAAAACTCAATTATTTTAAACAACTTGTATTTTTTTCAAAATTTTGAGATAACAATGTTCTGACTAGAACTCCCTGCAATTACAAGCCCAGCTAATAATTTTTTTTGTTAAATTTTTATGACTACATCTGCAGCACAGATCAAAGCAGCAGGATGTGCTGCACAGCTCCCTAACTTGCACAGGGACAGGACTAGGGAGCCAGGAGTACAGAACAGCTTAGGAGCTCTGCTGAGCTCTTCTTCCCCAAATATTTCTATTGTCACACTCTCAACTCTCCAGACAACAAACCCTGATTTCACTTCCACTGGATTTACTCACATGTAATCTCAGATTTGCAGTTTCCTGGATTTGGAATGTTTGGCTGAGTGATGAATGCTTTAACCAAATTTCTCTGAATTTTTATTTGTTTTTTAACTTTTTTTGAACTTGAAGGAAAGCCTGTCACTCCCTCAAGGGTCCCAGTACAATTGCTTGTGAGCCTCATTGTAATTAAGGTGAGGGGTGGGTGCATGGGGTGGGTATATTAAAAATACCTGGAAATGAAGTAGAAATAAGCTGTTCCTGTGTGCATTTGTTTAATCCATATTGATTTCCCACAAACAGCTCTAGTGGCCCAGCTAAGAAACTGGCAAACTGGCACGGGAACAAGACAACACTACTTAACCTTTCTGTAACAGCTCTAGTCTCTGTCAAAGCTCAGTGGTAAAGAAGCAATTTTGCTTCCTCTCTAAAATGTGCAGCCTATTTAAAAATAAATAAATAAAATCTTTCACTGTCCTACTGCACTTTGAGTGCAGAACTCTTCTCCATCACACACTCCCCAAACTGTCACATCTCCTATTTATTCTCACCTGATCCTTGGTCTTCTCTTCTCTTTCACGAATGTAGCCAGCAACAATTCTTTCTGTTTCCTCACACAACCTTGGATATGTTGCCAACTGAAACACAGAATTAACAGAAATTGACAATTGCAAAGGGGCTTCAGTGGAATACAAACAGGGCAGCATTCAGCTTTCCTCTTTGGAAGAAAGCAAATATTCTAAATGCTTGGGACTAGAAGTCAAGCAAACTGCAAAGCAAGCCTTACTTGCTGTTGTTCAGAGACTGGAGAGACCTAAACCCTTGGATTGTTGCTGTTCTTTTCCTCCAGGGAACACTAAGGAAAAGCCACTTTGGACATATGAAACACAGCCTATCTGGGGTGAGGTTTCTCTCTCTTCTACTGGGCCCAGTTCCAGAGTGGTGCTTTAAATGATTTCCAAATTTCTTGTTTTTTAAAGGCTCCACCTTGTGGCAATATCTTTACATAACAATACTGATCATAATTATGATAACAATAACAATAATAATAACAATAACAATAATAATAGTAATAATGGAAAAAGCAAGACACAGTGGTAAATTTGGCCAATACCACTGGGAAGAGCATCTGCACAGTTAATTCAAGTGACATGTCTTCCAGGCTTTGACAAAAGTGAAAAAAACCTAGAAACTCTGCTGAAAATATAACAGAGAATCTGCTTCTCTATGTTCTTTGTCTTCTCAGTTTTAAGAAATATCTCTTTTACTTGCTCATTGGTATAAAGAATTTGGGTTTTTTCAGAAAAAATGCAAGAGGAGATTTCTCAACAACCTCATCATACCTGTGCTCACACCCCAGAATCACTCCTGTACTTACTGTCACGGGGTGCCCTGCACTGGGATGGAGGGACAGGCACATTGACAGGTGAGACTGCAAAAGCAGCCAGTCAGCTAAGAAGTGAAAACATGGTTTTAAGGAGGAAACTGAGGGCATCTCTTGACTCAAGAAACACCTCTCACTATAAGAATCAAAACAAAGGAATCAAAAAAAATGAACTTTTCCATCATTACATTATTGAGCAGTTTGCAGAAGTTGTAATTAATTACCTGAATGAATTAATTACTTGTTCAACAAGTGACTGAATCACAAATCTCTTGTAACACCATAAAATGCAAGACAGGCTTTCTATTAGGTACTATACCATTACATCTTACTTACATTACCAGATCTATGTGCAAGCTACCTTTTTAGTGCACTTCTTGACAGTGTTGATTAACTCTTGCATCACCAGATCCACACTTTTTAAGCAAGGTCCTTTCAGCTTAACTATCTGTTTTTTAACAATGGCTTCAAACGCCATATCTGGAGTGAACAAACCTGTTCTGTGGACATAAAAGAATATGTAAGACAGTAATAAAAACATCAGGCAAGGAAGTTTTTTTTTTACTAAATTGCTCAAATCTTCATTTTCAGAGCTGACTAATAACAATCCCTACACAGACTTCCATATAACTAAACTTGCTTCCTTCTCAAAGCAAGTGTCATTCTGAGTAAGAATATACTCAGAATATAAGATTATAAGTAGAAACATGCTTGAAAGATGCAACTCCTTCAAGAGGACTGCAAAACTCTAACGAGTACTGCTATAGTGCAGTAAAGCCTCAGCTGCAGTGCATCAAACCTTAGGGATGAGAGGCAGCTGCAAGCACTCCACGCACAATCCCTTGCACAGCAAATCCCTAAGAATCCTATGGCTGCACTTTTCACTCACACCAAAAAATGAGGTTTTGTTACTCAGAGTCTGACATGGAGAACTTCAGATTTGGTCACTGCAGAGTAAATGAATCTGTAAACAGCTAGCCACAGACCCAGGTCTAAACAAATGGGCCTTGCCTCTCTTTCAAACACTGTTCTCCAAGGTCTACCTTGGCAGATGAATTATATAAAAAAACAAACTAGAAAAGCACACTCAAAAGTATCATTTCAGTATGATAAATCAAGACTTCTCCAGCAATCAAGCAAGGAAAGTTCAAATACTGCACCAGTAGGAAAACATGGGAGCACTTGCCTGATCCCGTGTATGTTCTTGATGGCGTAACTTATCTCTCTCCGCAGTTCCTTCTCATTGAATTCCATCTAGGGGAACAGCAGCACACAAGAGCACATGAGGGGAAGGTTTTAACAAAACAGAAAATATCCCCTCTCCCTATTTAACCATAAGACAAGCAATTTCAGCTGCTAAAATAGTAATTACTAATTACACTAAACAATGTGTAAGCATTTTAAAACATTTTAGCACTAAGGCTACAGGCAGCAGTAAATATTGTTGAAAATCACACCCTCTTCCATTCCAGATATACCAACAGCTGGAATGATTTTGAAGAGTTGACAGAGTAAGCCAGGAAGAGGATTTGGAAGACTCCACTTTTTTTTTTTTTTTTTTTTTTTTGCCTGGTTTCATAAAGTGGTACAACTTCTGTGATTATGATCTGTTTATCCTCCCCTTTGCATTCTACAGTTTTCAACTAAATTTAAGAGAGGAGCTGTCTCAATTATGAAGCAATAAAGCTTTTCTTTAAGTTTCTTCGAAGCCAGTTAGCTGGAAGAGAAGTCAGTGCTGTCACAAATGAAAGGGTCATTACCTAAGTCAAACCATCACAGAATGATTTGGGTTGGAAGGGACCTAAAGGACTATTTTCCATTACTCTTTTTAATAGATACCAGCTACTTGAACACAAGTCAAATTTACCAACTGTAACTGTTTGCCTGCCCCATTTAACCAGAAGAAAGATGTCATTTGTGATAAAACAATAGGAGAGCACAGAAAATAGTACGAACTAGGGCTATAATTATATTCTAATTCTTGTATTTCAGAATTCTTAGCATATCTCAGTGTCCAGTCCTAGAAATTAAGCCAAATGTCTCAATTATAACTTCATGTAATTTCTTCCACAGTTAAAAGCATATTCTTTCAATCAGATCTTTTCTTGGCTACACTACTATCAGTATGAACATAAGGATACATAAATAAAATAAAGCACATCAGCAAGATGGATAAATACCTTCACGAGTTCAAAGGGAAAACGTTCATGGAAAATACGATTGATTTTGGCACCTCCTGAAAGCTCTAGCGTATCAACTTGATCTCCTGATCCTTCAATTCTTTTTTCAAAGTCCACTGAAAACTGTTGTACCATCCTGAATGTCAAAGGAGGGAAGGGAAAAAAAACAACAAAACAAGCAAAACCCAGAACAATTTAATCATATTAATTACCAACTCTTATTTCAGTACTATGCAACTACTACTGCCTATTCAAACATATTTAGTGATTGCCAAAAGTATCTGTATCACTGATTCAGCCAAGCTGCCAACCTATAGAATCCCTACCTACACACATCTCCCTGTACCCCTGCTAATAGCATGATGTGAATCCAGGGCTGGAAAATTCTGAAGAGATTGGAAAGGAACTTCTTTTCCCCATGCCAAAAGGCAAGCCCAAGAACCAGTACTAACATGGCGATGTGTCAGTACCACAAGCTCCAGCTTACTTGGCTCTGCTTTGACTTCTGCAGCAGGAGCATTCAGAAAAACCCACAGGAGAGCTCTCCCAGTCATGGAAAAGTCAAAGGTGATGTTCCTCTGTTTTTGCAACCAAAGCATCTGGAGTAAAGTCGTGAGGAACTGTCTACTCTTTTGGACACAGTTGTTACAAAAATAAGGAGTAAAGCAGAGTCTTTATCTGGCTCAAGAAAGCCTCTCTATTCAGCTATTACTTTCCCCTCTGAATTCCAAAGTTTTAATAAGAGAATTAAACCATCCCCAAACTTAGACATTATCACAATCCAGTGCTATTATCATCTATCCCAGAGAACTGAGAATGCTGCAAACCTCTGAAGTCAGCCATAGCAGGGATGTGACAACAGGCATATAAGAGAGAAAAACTAGGTACATTTTACACTTCTTCGTTCACACACCTCCTCTCTATGAGGTAAATTTAATTTGCATATAAACACAGAGCGCTACAACTGAAGAAAAAGAAACTGGGCGTGTGAAAATAGCAGATCTTTCAGGTGAAAAGATAGGCAGTACTGAGTTTCCAGCATCCCTGGAAACAGGCCAAGGAAGGAAGCAGATGCAGCAAAGCAGCAGGTGCTAACTGGTATTCAATCCACAGCATCAGCATTGTCCTTTCTTCCTTTCTCCCTGGTGCTAAATCTGCAATCAAGATAGGGCTGTGATTCTACCTCCACTTGATTCCATGATGAACAGTCATCTCTGTTCTTTGTTATCAAAGTCTCATCAGACAGACTTATTTTGTGGATGAGACCCAAACCAGACAGTGACTTGAGCACTGAAAAAGCTTTCTAGTTCAGAATTGATGATGATAATCCCCAAGAATTTGCCTCGCTGCTTTCTGAAAGCACACAAACTTTTACTGACAACTTCTGCAGCAAAGATTTGTGGGTCTTAGGTGCACAAAATAGGAAGGACTACCATATTTGATTAATTTTCATCTTGCCATCTCTCTAGGTTCTTTTGGACAGACAAATTTTTATACTAGATGAAGAATCATTCTTTATTCTTCTTCCAGCCTCCTCATCTAACAGACTTCCAACACAATGTCTCTCCCTTCCTTGAGGTCATCTTCTTGGCAGACAGAAGGATGTGTCTACACAATCAGAAGCAGTTTTTTACCTTTGATCATCTTTGCTGCCCATCTTCATGCCTTTTCCTTGTTCTGCTTTTTTTCCCTTTTCTAGGATTACTAAAATTGATTTAGGGAAAATTCTCTTGAAATTGTAGAATAAATAAAGTGTTCTGGAATATCAAACACAGAATTCTTTGGAGCTTGTGTAAAGAATCCTTAATAATATCCTAATGTTTATATTTAAACCAGTCAGAAAGAAGGGGGGGAAAGGCAAAACAAACCCATTCAAAGTGGAAAAGCAGACAAAAGACACTCACTGCAATAGGGCTTTCGTTTTTCTGGTGGGATCTTCTGGTCTGAAGTTTTTGTATACCTCTACTTCATGTTCTATAGAGAGCAGTTGGCTCTGGAGTTTGCTTCTGAAGGCTGGCAGGGTATCCCGAATATGATTGGTAAGTTGCTAAAAAACAAATAAAAGTCTTTTTGAACTGTTAAAAAGATGAAAGCAGGAGCACAACCATTTCCTTCTGACTGCCAACCGTATCAGCCATGACCTCTGCTAGTTTACCAGTGCAGTTCCTTTTGATCTCTGATGCAATGGAGACTTAAAGAACAATCCAATATTCCTGGCACATACACATTGTAAGGAGGCTCAAAAAATTCCTTCATCCTCTCACTCACTGAGCCCTGTTACTACACACTTGTTTAGTTACACCTGAAAAAGTTACATATATTAATGGGTAATTTAAAATTGTCTCTCATCTCTCTGTGCTGATGCCACACTCCTGTTTTGCTGCTTTTCTTAAGGGTGTTTTACAATTCCCTTTGTATTTTTTCAGCACAACAACTCCTTTATGCTACAGCCACAAAGCAAAGTGGGAAAGAAAGAAATTCTGAGCACCCAAAGCATGTTTTTACATAGCTAGATATATCTATATATGTTTTAATGTGTTAGGACAGCACTGTCCATGACTTACCTGTGCCATAAATGTCTCAGGTATTGTACACATTCCTTAATTAAAAGCAAACTGGACTTCTTCCACTATTCCCCAAACCCTCTTCCCAACCCCAGCCAGACAAGCTATAAACTGTCCTACACCAAAATATATAAACTCAAGTTTGAAGTTGCTCAGCAGACTGACAGGCACAAAATCAAAAGCTGGAGTTTCCCTGGAGCACCACCTTGTGGATACAAAAAAACTGAAATATTACCTGAAACCACAATAGGTCCCCAATACCTTGAGGACAGGACTTAGGTAGATCTTCCCATAAATAACATTCTACACACAGTAAAAGCAGCAGAAGATCAACAGTTCCTACTGAAGTAGGTAAATATTCAAAAGAAGAACTCTTAAAAAAGTTAACAGCTATACAAGTCACGACAGACAAGACAGCTGAAAGGTTTGTGCAGCCTGTGTTTCAGTCTCAAAACTAAGACATATGGATTAAACTTTCAAGACGTAAAACAAGGCAAAACATTCAAAACACAGATAAAAATGTAGGATACATGCAAGTTCTTGCATCCTGATGAGGACTTTGGCTCTGAGGCACAAATAAATTGCATTAGTAGTCTTTTTGAGCAAGCCCAGAACATTCCATAGCCTGGCTGTCAAGTTACAGCTGCAAAGTCACTGTAGCAAAAAATTAAGCAGACCAGCCACTTACTTTTCTACTTTAATCAGGAACATTCCAGCTGTTTCCAGCTGCTGTACAAAATGGACAAAACCAGGTTGATCTGGTCTTTGTCTATTCCAGAGGAAAAGCTGCAATTTGACAGTGAGCTAGAAAAAACAGCATCAAGTTGGACTTGTGGGCAGCTGAAGAGTTAAATGCAACAGTTGAGGAATAGGATGGTATACTTCCAGGGAGGGAAACCAATCTTATTTTTGATCTTCATATTCAGTATTCTAAAGAACAGTGGAGTGCAGAACTGCCAGCAACAGTCAGAAACTACAACTCACAGCAAGCTTTTGTATGTTACAGGAAAGGATGAGTGAGGTTCAGTGACCAACTTCATTTCAATACAGTTTTTATATTGGCACTATCATTACAAAGCTGCCTTTCACCACAAAGGCTCAGGTTTTACCTGGTTTAGAACTTTCTGGAGATATGGTGTTCCCATCCGATCTGCCATGTGCCTGTAGGATGGGTGAGAAAGAAAGAATTTCCTTTCTGCTAAAAGAGCTGCCTTTATGTCCTTCTTCCCATCAATGTCTTTCTGGCTTCTGTTTACAACACCAATATAACCTAAAAGAAGTCAAAACCAATGGGTAAATCAATTGCCTGAACCACTGAAGTCATCTTAAATAGAACCAGACTGTCTCAGCTCAAACAAAACTTCCCAATTTAGGTATTTCAGATTAGGTTTACAAGTAGAAAAGTAACCTTGACACTGTCTAAATTGTTCATTTTGCTTACATATAACAGATTTCTTTTAAATCATCAGTTCAAATAAATATCTGAAACTGATGAGCCCCAAAGAAACCGCTTCAAAAATAAACAAACAAAAATCCAAAATAAAATTGAAATACACGTCTAGACAGATAAATTATATGATATTAACAAAATTTTTTTAAAAAATCTCATTTGCTGGACCAACACGTTCCATGGGAGGAGACAGTAGTCTCATCAATAAATTATAGCTAGAATCAAAATTATTGATATTATTAAAAGAATGAGCAAATGTGGCAGTAGTTGCTAGAACATGGAAAGTTTGTGGCAGGGATCAAAACTGGTTTACAGTGAGATTACCAAAGCTCTGGTGCTTGTTATTGTCATATGCAAAGAAAAAAAACATTCTTTTGTTACAAGGAACCTGGCAAAGAAGAAAAATATTGGCTAATGACATGTGCTGGCATTACACTGCATATTCCAGAGGAAGCAAGGATTTTCCGGGTCCAGAAAGGATATTTTTAGCACAGTTACCCTTGTTTGTTGAATAGATAACTGCAAAAGCAAGGAACACATCAAATCCAGCATAACCGGTGATTCATCTCCAGGACTCCTGAACACCACCCTTATCCAAACCACTTTTTGGACTGCAAAGAATAAAGGCAACTGAACATTCTCACCTCTACGAAGAGGGAGGAGTTTGTTTTCCAGAACTTCTCTTGCATCTGTTCCTTCATCCATCAGATCCAGTTTTGTGATCACACCGATGGTCCTGAGGCCTGACCAGAGAGGAAGCAGGAGGAAAAAGTTATTGAAGAATCATTTAGATTCAGAAGAACAATTACATCTTACAGTTATGTAATAACATATCTGTGCCCTTCTCAAAGCTATCACACAGTTACAGCTCCAACTCAAGTTATATGTCTGGAAAAGAAGGGAACATAATTGCCAGTGCTGAAATGTGTTCCTCAAAACTCCTTAATGAGGCTCAGCATCCCTACAATATGACTGTATAAAATTCATGATGTAAATATCCAGAAATCCCATCCCCTATTTTGTCCAGTACTACAAAAATTCCCAGATAAACATTGCTCATAAGAGATAGTGACAACATTTTTAAAATTCATTTACAGCAACATTACCCAAACAACACTGAGCTAACAGTTATACTGTGATGTTGAAGATCATATGAGAATGTAAATACACATCTATATTATATATTATAAATTACAGAATTTCCCAGAAGAGTTGGTCTGTTATTTTCAATTGTGTTATTACACTCAAGAACAAGAAGTGGTAACATTCAATCCTGCTTACCCTGAGGGTCCACTTCCTTTGCCAGCTTCAGGGCATCTGAGTTGGCCAGGTCAGTGTTAGCTGGAGTCACAGCCAGGATCAGGCAGTTCTCTCGAGAGATGAACTGCATTATCATGTCTCTGATCTGCTGCTCAATATCTGGAGGCTGATCCCCCACTGGCACTTTAGTGATTCCCGGCAAATCGATAAGGGTCAGGCTTAAGACTACACGGACAACATGGATAACAGAACTGGTTAGCATGCCACACATGACATAGAGGTCAATACACCTATGGCTGCAGACAAGTTTTGGTCACATAAAACCCTACATAACTACCTTTACAGGCAGATAAATATGTCAACAGTTGTCAACAGTTCACACAAAATGCCTGACAATCTGCAGAGGTTTGTTTCCCTGTTGGTCTTACATCTCTGGATTTAATAGTGCTATTTAAAATTTGAAATATTGCAGCTGGTATAAAATGATACTTATATCAAATATCCTTGAGGGCTCTAAGACACATGAACATGGCTTTCTGAGCTTTGTCCAACAGGAACACAGGTAACAGACCACTCTCATTGCATCCTCCAAATAAACCAAAACCATTGCTTGGATTTTTTTCTTAATATAATGTTTCTCTAACCAAGCTTTCAACCGTGTCTCCAATTTAAAAATTCCCAATAAACAATCAATAGCTAGTCTAACTTATATAGCAAAACTGCTGTTAAGGGGCTTGGGGATATGTTGCTGGTTTGGGGTTTTTTGTTTTTTGGTTTTTTTTTTATCTGTGACATCTTCAGAAAAGTCAGAAAGATGAAAAAATTAACCCATTAAAAAAACCTGGTTTGCCCTGGTATGATTTCCCCAGTAAAGGCCACAGTGCCAACTAGAGGCACTCTGGCTTGGGGTAAGCATCCTGCTGCTGGAGTAACAGGGCATCCTTTAGACAAATGAGAAAAATGGAATTCCTAGAAAGGAAATACCAGAAGTGTATTTGGAGTCTGGTTAGTATAGACAAACGTGGCTGAACTAAATGACTGATCCTAATAAAACAAAGCAAGAGCAATAGGAGATTTTTACTTTCTCCTGGAGTCTGCATGTTCAACAAACGAGCTATAAGGTGGGGAATTTAGTTGAGCTTCTCTGCAGCTAGAAAAATCAGATTCAATGGAAAACACTTTCTATAGATTGTCTTCATTAAACTGGGCAGATGGCAACCAGAGGAACCAACTTTGATATATACAGGGGGTCTTCAACAGAAAGCAACTTCAAACACTATTGTTGCCTGACTATATTTTTAGTGACAGCAAACAATAAATTCTCAGTAAGGCAGGGAGACACAGAGACTTTCTAGATCAGGGAATTCCTCTGGAGAGTGCCAAAAAGTTTTGTTACTAAGTTCCATTACTGGTCTTTACTAACTCAGCCTCAAACTTTTTCCAGCCCAGAAGATCAGGCAATAAGAACAGATAAAAAAGGCTAGCCAGAATAATATGTTTATATGACATAAATGTAAAGCAGAATGATTTTACCTACCATGTGGAGAATATATTCTTAAATTAATAGGAACTGAAGAAATGCCTTTGTTCATTCCTGTTACTCTATCTGTTTCTACTTCAATCTCCTGACGAACTTCATCAAAATCAGTAAATTTCTTCCCTTTGCAGTGTAGAAATTCAGCATACTCTGTCAAGAATATCAATAACAACTCTGTATTTCACAGGCTCATTGACTTGCACACCCACTTTCAAGCCCCCAGTGTTCTTCAGATGTGTGGGCACAAAAGCTGATCATCATGGCTACCAGGAAAGCATTATTATGATTGCACATATGAAAACCAGCCCTCAACAAAAAGGTGCAGTTTAAAGTTGATTGGATGTGATTTACTGCTCCTATCTTTAGCACATCATCTTCTGGAACAATGGGAAAGATTCAATTACATGCCATTTACAGTAATAGAATAGAGAACAGATTGAGATTCTGAGTTTTCAACTGATCTCATTTGCCTGTAATATATCCTAAATGGAAAAGTAATTCAAATTCTGTACCATGAAAGATTTTTAGCATTTGTTTCAGAAACTAACACCCTATGTTACACACAGATGTAGTAAAGGAATTCTGTAAATTTTTACAAGTTCAAAATGAAAATAAGATCACTTAAAAACACTGTCATGTTTTTAACACAGCTTCTCATTTCCTAAAAGTTTTCTGTAGTCTAAATATGAGTCATGTTTACAAGTTTGCAAAAGTGTCTACAGAAATAGCTGTGATTTTGCTGAAGTGGGAGAAAACAAGTAATTCCCAAGTCTTTAATATTATACAAGTTCCTGTTTTACCTTAGAAGAGCATCGACCTTCAGGAGTCAGAGACAGATAATTTGTTAGACCCAAACTTGACACTAAGTCCCTGTTTTGACTTTAGAATCCAAATACTGATATTAGTTATTGCAACCTTTTGGTTGCCTGCATAACCGAAAGCACATCCCAGGATTTTAAAACTGGAGTTTCTTCCTTCATAGCAGAACACAAAAATTTATCTTCATAGTAAGGCTGCCACCAGAAATAATGACATAAAGAGGAATTCCAGACACCAGCTCACGTCCTGTCCCCAGCAGGTCTGAGCAGTAGCACTGGAGAAAGGCTGAAAAGATTTGTGCACGTTCCAGTTCATTTCACCCTGCAATAGAGGCCTGATCTCAAAGTTCCCTTTAGAAGTTTCTTCCCCAGAAAATGTTACTTGGTAACAAGGCCACAATTGCCAGTGCAAAGAGCTTGCTTGGTACTCGAAGAACAGCAGCTGAGAACACCAGATGTGAGAATATGGATTAAAAGAGGACCTTATGTGTCAGTACTGGAGCCTGTCCCCCAGAACTTTCCTCAGTAACTGTTACTATTACTGACAGAGCTGTTAAAAAAAAATAAAAGTAATAAACAGTCAAAATTACAATAAATAGTTAAAGCAAACTGTCAGGAAAAAAGGACAGAGTGGAGGGGGAAACATCAAATACCCACCTGTCTGTGCTACAATAACATAATCTCTTCAGATTCAGTGTGTAAGGGACAGGGAAACTCAACCTTGTTCAGACGAAAATATATAACTTATTTTAAAAACAAGAGAGAACCTAACAAAAAAAGCACCTATTTTATATCTTTTTTTCAGCTCCAGCAGCAAAATGACAATGAATGGGAGTTTTGTTTCATTGTCCACTGTTTATTAAAAAAAAAAACCCAGGGTATGTTCAAATATTTCCACAAGAAAAATAACATGGTGCACAGAATAAAATATCTCGGTTGAGAATTTACATTTGTAAAATTTGTCATCTCAAGGTTGGCAAATAGATACCTAATGAAAACAAGAGCTGACAAGTGGTTCATATTTTACCCCACTTCTTCATGCACAGCCCCTGGAATAAAAGATATGTATTCTTCTTAGGTTTTTTGGGTTTTTTTCCAGTGGATCATCAGATTTTCTCAGGAAATTATTTCTAAATGCAGTAATTACTAGTTGATGCCCAGCTGTAATCAGTTGACTCTCTGCTAGCCAAGGAAGCTTTTCTCTTTGTCTCACTTCACATTCAGTAACAGATTTGCTATGTGACAAGGCTTCAAAACAAATCTAAACAAAAATGTTTGCTACTTATTATCTGGGTTAATATTTCTGAAATCCCCTTGCTCCTGGTGCCATCTGTGGTGCCAGCAGTGCTGCAGGAATAAACCCCACGGTGGTTCCTAACCTGCGGTGCCACACACAGCCTACGGAATAAGAATTCCAAGGCACAAGCAGTGCTTTGTTCTGCTCCTTTCAGCCCTCAGCCTGCCCTTGGCAGTGATGCCTTCAGCCAGCCTGGACAAGCACATGCTTTAATGCAATCTTCACTTTCCAGCTTTCATGCATAGAAGAATACTAAGAAAATGTTTTGTTTATGTTTTTGTGGGAATGGACACAAAGCCAGGCAAGAAGAAGTGATCCGGCCTGACGTTTAGCTTTCAGACATGTATTTTTTGTATAAAACTGAAGTTACATTAAGAGAAAGAACAATTAGATACAAAATTGAAACAGTCCTTGCATGCAAAATAATTGTTTTCTTCCCCCATACTGATTAAAAGCACCTTGGATAACACAGAATGAAAAGGCTACCATAGCATAAGCTCCTTCAGTGCATCCACAAGTGATTAATTAGCTCTTCAGTTTTGATTAAATTAGACAAATCATACAAACGAGTGATATGGGATCACATCTTTTAAAATGCTCCTTATTTTTCCTGTCAGTTATATCTCCCTATGCCTTTATTATTTAATCTAGCACAATGATATATTGTTATGAGCACTAAACAGCCATTGACGTTCTCAAACTATTCAAATTATATAAATACTTGAGATATTTCACACATTTGTCCCTAAACTAAAGAGAGCCAAATGACAGGGATCAGCCCTTAGGAATCCATAAGGGATGTTTTGGAAAACATCCTTGATCCATATCAGAAGTTTACAAAGCCAAAAGATTTTACTGTGAATAGAATAATGTGTTACTAGAGGACAGGAATTCACCAAGATCAGAGACCTGGATTCAGAACTGCTCCCAAACTGATATCAAGCAGTTTGCTCCAAGTTGGTGGAAGTATCCAGAGCAGAGTACTCGACAGGGATTGAAAGTGGTCCAAAAAGGTGGCTCATTAAATTGTAGGCTGGTAGTAAATATTTTAAATGTATGCAGCACAGGAGGAATATCTGCTACTACTGCACCTTCTATCTGCCAGCCCCTTGGGGAGATATCACTCAAGCAACAACACTTTTTACCTTCAATAAAGCATCTCCCAAAGCCTCAGAACTATTCCTAAAAGAGTGATTTCAAGAGGTTTTTTTAAAAACATGCAAATAAATATCATCAGCCAAAGTACTTCACCTTTTCTTTGATGATGGACAGCTTTTTCTGGACAAAGTAAATGCAGTTAAGTGAATCTGGACCATAGCAAATCATTAAATGGTGCTTCCTTGAAAAGAGAGGAAGTATCAAAAGCCCTTGTTGTCCTACCCAATCTACAATCCCTCTTCTGCTTTGCCATTTCTGTAGCTTTTCTAACAACCTGAAGATGAAATACTCAAAACTGAGTTATTCCACTGCTAACCTTCAAGCAAAAAGGTTACAAGAAACAGAAGTACCTTGGTATTTCCTGAAGACAGAACAGAAAATCCTGGCAATGCAGAGAATTACGAGAATATCACAGCAGAAGATATTAAACATGGAAAACAGTGTCAAGCTGATGAAAGTAACTACCACAAGATAGCAGAAACCAGTGAAAAGGTTCATTAGAAGGGTACACACTGGTACCAGAGGAGGAAAAGCATTCTTTTGGATGCCATCATTTTCCACAACCTTCAAAGTTTTTGTTTGTAGAAAGATTTTCTTTCTACATCCATCTTTTCCTATGGATGATGCTTTCTATAGTTCCAAGCCCTCACACAGCCCTCCTGCAGGCATTTTTTCCTAAATTTACAGAGGCAGGGTTCTCACCAGAGCTCTCTCCTTCCCAGGACTGAGAAAATGCAGGACCTTGTAAGATTGCATTTCTGTGATGCATCTTGTACAATGTTTCCTGCTGTATTTTATGACAGCATGACATCAGTGAGTTATGCTCTGTCAGAGATTCACTGTGAGCACCAGCTCCTTTTCTGAACACCAACAGAAAAAAACCCACATCCCAGCTCAATTGCTTCCTACTTTGGGGACATTTCTCTTCTTTTTCAAGCACAATTGCTAAACATCAGCTTAATAAACACACTCTGTTCTGTCATCCTACCAGTAATGCAAAATACTGAACATGACCTGGAGGGGTGTCCCTTCCACTCTGTGAACAGCTGTGCATCCATCTCACAGGAGTCCTTGCTAAATCATGTTTCCCAAGATAGCTTATGATATTTTCAAAAAATGGAAGATAATTTAAAAACATTTGCTGTAGCCAAGTTAAGATACCCACCATACTTTAATTTACAAGCCTGCTGCCCCGTAATAAAAAAAAATTATTGCACTGATATGACAGGGTTATTTCCTTGATGAGTTTGTGTTGGCTGCTGTTCACCTCAAATAACTTTCAGATTGTTACTTAATAACAACTAACGGATTTCTTTCTCCTAAAACCTTTGACTGACTCTTCTGTCACTTCCCTTTATTTTCTTTATGAAGATGGGCATATATAGAGCTATTTTCCAATTTTAGTGAGGGGATTCCATCTTTCCTAATGCCACTGAGTATCAGTCTGGGATCAAGGAAACAAAAACCAAGTATTATTTATAGGTACCATTAATTTGTCCCAACAGGAGCTGAAGCTGTTAGAGGATTGTTTTTGCCACCAGATGGCAACAGAAGATGGCTATGCGTGAGTAGTCTTGTAATACACGTAATTTGGATTAAAACTCAACAACATCAATAGAAAAGAGCATCTGCAAGACTTCAGAAAAAAGTCAGAATGTCCTTTGAATTTTATGATTTACTTTCCACTTAGTATTTTCATTAACAGAACACAAACAAATGTGGGTATTGTAAACATGACTCATTTATCTAAAAATTGTCTACCTCAATAATGATCTTCAAAATCTGTTAATCTGCTGAAGCAAGAAGTAAACCTGAAATTGCTCCAAAAACAGTTGTCAAAATGAGGAAAATAACTCTCCTACAGCCAGGATATTTAAGATGTAAATAACAAATAACACAATTTATATAGCAGGCAATGTCTTTTTAACAAAGAGAAGACCTACTCCAAAGACTCCACACATTTTTTTTGTTGCCCCTGCTGTTCAAAAACCATGTACTACCTAATCTTGAAGAATCTAGTCATTATCTCACCTGCATAGGCAGAAGAAAGCACAGCAAGTAGAAGAGACTGCCTAAGGTTATACAGAATGTGTGGCAACAGAAAGAAAAACATTAAAAAACACAAAGAAAACCCACAAAATGAACAACAAATAAAAAACCAGTGAAAATATCAACCTATCTCTAAAGATCTCAGAAATTTCAAGTCATTGCCTTCTTAAAGCTTACTCAGCAGCACTACTTAAAATATCTATTAAATAAAAACTGTTTCATCTTACTGCTGTATTAGATCAAGAAAACACCAAGTTAAGAACTATACTCAAAGCTGTGAAACAAAAATTTAGAATGTTGAAGAAATAAGTTTGAATGTAAAAATTATGGAACATCAACTCAAAGGAAGAAAAACCCACCAGCTCACAGGCACACTCAAAATTCTCATCCCAGGACAGCTGTGTGCCACCTGCATCTTAAAGACACACAATTTCTCACATTATCAAACTCTGAGAAAAATACTCAAAACTGTTAAAGACTGACTTGTTACTTGCAATATTTATTTTAAAACTTTATATTTGTCTTCAATATTTCAGCAGACTACGCATTTGCATGAATGTGGAGTGCAAATGCCATAAAGCCCTTCAGGAATTGTCCTGGTGCTACCAAAACATGTCAGTGGCTAAAAGGAGGCAAACAGATCACTGTGAAATAGCTTTGTACAAACTACACGGAACTTTTATAATAGGGAAATAAAATTTAAAATACATTTAATGTTACCCCTGCAGGGTAACAGCTCTTCAGCCAGATGTGTCAGATCTCTCAGATGCTGGAGGATCCCTGCTAACTCCTCACAACCAATTCCTGCTGCACCCTTCCATGTCATGTCTGACCCTAACAATGGATGGGCAAAGCTTTCTCTTATTTTGATGTGCACAAATGCCTGCTCTGCTAATCTTCATCTCTTACTCAAATGAAGCTTTAACCTTCTCTGCCAATCAAATTCACATTCCTAAACTGTTCTCAGCCACTTCCAGAACGTTGCTGAAGTATCTTGTAGTCAACTGTGCATGCCTGTATAGAAAGTACCCCCTCTCTCCCAAGGAATACTCCAAGATTATGAACAGTTACTTTTAAGAGTCAAGAAAAATTCTAGGATTAAAAATTAGTTTTGTTTACTACAGCAACAAGCAGTTGATACAGCCCTCTAATTATTCTATAACATTTGAGATAATTATGGGCTTCAAAGAAATCAGCCCAGCATCTGCTTCCTGTAAAAGAACACTGTGCTTCTCTCAGCAGTTTTCTTTATTTTCTTTTCTTAAAATTAGCTCACAGAGATAAAGGTGACTTAAAAGATAAAGTTACTTGGAATTTCACCATCAAAAACAACAACAGTGGAACAAAGTTTAAAGAAAGCAACAAAATAATTAAAGGTCTTGGCATTTAATCTCAAACAAGAGCTACACAGCATTTCCCAAAGGGAGAAATTTACCTTGACATCCAGGAAATACAAAATTAGGCTGAAACTCAGTTCTCCTGAATTTTTTAAGGTTTTTGTGTGTTATTTAAGCTATAATGAAGTACTAATTTTCAGCAGAGAAGGTACCTGTATGAAACCTAGAGGCCTACCTAAAGCCAGTAATACTTTGGGAACACAGTAATGAGGAAAACCAGATTGGAAAAAAACCCTATACCAAGGGACAGTGATGACTTCACAAAAGAGGTCAGTACAGAGTAGTCAGGGTAAGTTTAGGATGGATGTCAGAGTAAGCATTTAACCACTTAGGTCAGAGTCTAAGTGCTCACTTACTGACAGGTCCCCTCAGCTCAGGTTTTTTGAAAGGATTGCCAGCACAAAGCTCAAAGTTTTTCTTTCTTCTGTTCTTGCATGGTGCAGAAAAGTCAGATGAAGACTCTCCACAGCTAAGCCTTATTCATTCATTTCTGCATTATCTGTCAGAGGCCAAAAGCCAGATCTGCAGAAATGGCAAGTGTTCATTTCTCCAACTAAAACAAACGTTAATGTTTACCATATATAAAGCACTGAAAGTGTATAACACACTTGACAATCCTAAAGTTTCTAAGCTGAGCATGCAAAAATACCAAATTCCATGGTTTTTCCTTTCTCTTCCACAGTGTAAACACCATGGAAAATTTCATAGAGGCACTGAAAGTATGACTGTTTTAAAAGCAGTAATTCAGAAAAAACCCTGAAGCCCAGGCAGACTGCAGTCCCTGTTGAACAATGCAAAGACCTTCATGAAAGAAATACAAAAACTTTATTACACTTCACAGACAGGGATAGACTCAAGTTTTACAGGCAGCTATAATTTTGTTTTTTCCCCAGTTTCATCATAGTCCATAAAAAAGACCACTTTTTAGTTTACAGTTCTGGCTTGGATGCTATTTCATTTCTTTTTTTTACTGTTTTGAGCAGAAGTAAACAGCAAACCAGTGATTTCTGTTGCTTACATTGGTCTAAAAGTAACAACACGAAAAACTGGAATGATGTTGTTGCTTAGCTGCTTTTAGATATGCCAGGGAATTGAGTTACACCACGGCAGATCAAGTGGAAGAGTATAGAGTGGTAAATTCTCATGAAAGATCTCAATATGTCCCATGGCTTAGTGGTACACCCAAAAATATTTATATTTTTGACCAGACAAATACACAGAGGCCCTGTTTTCCCCCAATCCCCCTTCTCTACTTAGTGCAGTGAGCCCAACCAAAAAGGACAAGTTCTGAAAAGAGCCTGTGTGGAACCAAATCTGTGTGCACTGGAGCAACAGTTAAAGGTAGAAGTGCAGCAATTTTAGTGTGCTAAGTAATACAACTGCAAAGCTCATCAAGAAATGAATAAATCAAAGCTAATTTCCAAAGCATATTGCATGTAATGATGTGGATTCAATTCACCATGTGCTCCAGGATTTAGATGTTACCTTTTTCCCACAATGGGCAATGGGATGAGTTTGGTCCTGAGCATACAATTTTGAAGCAGTAGCCCTTTGTTCCTGACAGTCTGGTGGCATCTTTCTTCACATTGCTTATGTGTTCTTAGAAAAGTTTTTTTCTCCTGCTGAAGTACATGAGCACTTTGTCCAAATAGTGACCCAAAAAGAGGAAGAGATTACCTGTTTTGGCAGTGATGAGTTGCAAGACCAATGGTCGTCTTGTCACAATTCCAGAACCTCGTGGAAGAAAATCCCTAGAAACATTAAAAAAATAGTTACTAGCCAGAAGTAATGCGCAGTTACATAAGATATTGGATTAATTTGGAACCTCCTCTGTATGAAAATGGAAAGCTGGTGTGGATAGATTTATATCAAATACTCCTATAAAGTAGGGCTGTTAATTTTGGTTCAAGATAGTAGTAGGACATTATATATTAGACAAATGTGTATTAAAACTAAATTACTGTTTCAGGGCATTATCAAGCCCCTTCAAGACCATCACATATAACATCTCACCTTGCACAGTAAGAGTAGCTGAAGCCATGCCCAGATTTACCAAATGATTCTGTCATCACTGCACACTTAATCTGAAGAGGATCTGGACATAGGAATTCACACACTCACACCCCACATCAAAGCTCTGACAAACCAAACTGGCAGCACTCTGCACCACTCTTTCACACACTTAACTTCTGCCAGTCCAAATCCCAAAAAAACTTTTCCACCAACACATCTGCCCAGAAATTTTTCAGTGAAAGCAGAACACTAGAAGTCCTGTGGGACAGAGGAAGAGAGTTTCCTTGGACAAGAAAGCAAGCAAGGAAACAAAGAAACAAGCTCTACCATATCATATGCATCCCCATGATCCTTTCCATGTCTCTAAAGACAAGGAGACTCCTTATGCAATGGAAAAGAAGAAACTCAAAGCAAAATAACACATTTTTCTCAGTGTCTTCCCCAGTTGCCAGACCTATTAAAAACATTTAAAAACTATGAGATGAGGTTCATTGAGAGGCTTTGTAGAGTGTTTCCTTCAAATAAGTGTCTTCAGGGGTAAACAGGCTTGCACAATCAGTGTAAGCTCATGAAAATCCTCTCTTTTTTCCTGCCTTCCAAGGGATGTTGAATCACTTTCCTGCCCGCCTTGGCAGCACTGCTAACTCACCTCTCTGGCTCGGGTGAAAAGCAATGCAGCAAAGGGTTAGGGCAGGAATTTTCAGTGCAAGGGCAGAGCTGGTCTGGGTGTCTGTTGTTATACACCTAAGGGCCTGTGCAAAGGTGAGGCAGGAATGTCTTTGGGGAAGGACAGGGAGAAGGACAAGAGTCAAAGGAACAAACTGCTGAGATATGTCTGCTCAAGCCACTTGGGAAATCACCTCTTGCCTATAACCACTGAGGATCTTCATACTGACCATGCACTATTTAATGGAAGCTTGATTTTGCAGCTCCTTTAAAGGCTGCACACAAACCTGCATGATTTAAAACAGGCCTTGAGGGTACATCTATGAAAAACAAACCACACAAATATCCAGGATACTATTTGTGCAAATCAGAGGGTATTAGGTGTGAGCAGTCCCAGGCTCAGGAATGCAACAATGAACCTCCTTCCACAAGCACCAACAAGGTGACAAAGCTTTGGCAGAAAAGAAACACAGTAACTCTACCTGTGAGATGAGTACTGAAGGTTTCCTTCCCAACCTAACATCTAGACATAAAAAAAATAAAAATAAAAATAACATATGCAGGCAGTTCTAAGGCTCTGAGGAACAAGACCAGCTGTCAGCTGTGCCCCCCACCACATTAGAACTCCCCAGCATTTTGAATTAAAGTGTTAATTTCTAGCTAAATTGTGTTTTCCTTTCTCAGTACCTGCTAATGTGTGCTTAAAGTGTGTGATTACTCTGCAAACCAAAACCATGAAAGGGGAGGCTGTTCAAACACAAGCTCACTCATTAACTTCCCTACTCAAACACAGAGCTGCAGGCAGAAGTACAATTAATTAGGAGATCAAGTGATCTCTAAAGCAAAGATACTGCAAAAACATCAGATGTACTGAGTTCAATCTGCTGTGATGCTTTATAACACTTGAGCCAGCAACAAGATACAGGAATTAGCTAAAAGAGAAGCCAAAGGCCTTCAGATAGGTCTCTATCATAATTTCTGTATCTACTAATGGAGAGAAAGCAGCCCCTCAATGAACATCTACTGATATTTTCTCATGGGGAAACAGAAAAGAGTCATGGGAACGTGGTCATACTTCTGTATGCACTGAAATGACAGCAGCCCAAGAGGTAACAAATGCCTATTAAGATTACAGTTTCATACATTGCTCTTCAAGCACTTAATATCTGGTTTTTAAAAATATATATATTTTTTCCTATCAAGAAGCTAAAATGAATTGCTGCTCAGGACAAAGTGGTCACCCAAACCAGTGTCCTCTACAGCACCACAGGAGACAAGAAAATCCTTTGGGGAGTCAAAGGCTGAAAAGATTTATTGATTTTCTGCTTCAGACTAAGCACATTCAGTGATACAGAACACTGCATTAATGCAGCTCCCAGTGTACACAATGCTGACCTTTCCTCAATAGCAAAACTACAAAGAAAGGTAAGACAACAATTTTCCTTCAGAATATCCTCTTAATATGTCCAAAAGTGATGGCATTCTTTAACCCTAACAGGCTGAACTATCTTCTGTTCAAGGAAACATCAGCAGAGAGAGGTTTCTGCTTGGTGAGAGGGAGAGCTGTGTTGATCACATAAACAACTAAACATAAGCAGGACATAAAACTTCTGCTACAAATGCACAGTTTGAAGATGGAAAAAGTCAGAGAATGAGGGTAATGGGACTCACAGGGAGAGTTGAAGAGAAAATTTCCCCCACCATTTAACCACTGAATGGGTGTTTTACCTCTATGAAAGAGACACTGACATCCATCTGCCCACAGGCATAGGGATTTTTATTTTTTTTAACAATTTAAAATTTCAGCTTCAGCCACGAGGCAATAGCACCTGTGTGTATTCTCTGTACAGCTGAAATCAGATGTTACAAATAAATACACAAACTTTACTTACAGAAAAAAAAAGAGGCAATTTTTTTTAACACACAGAAATAAAAGTCAAATCTGAAACACAGCTTGCACATCTTTAGGAAAAGCAACATAGAACCACACAGCAGGGAATCAGATGAAATGCTGTACAATGCTTCTGCAGAAATGCCTACTGTGACACCCACAGGACAGGATGCAGTTCCCCTCCCCTTGGAACAGAAAGCATTCCCTAAAGGGTTTCTTAGTGGTGCTGAACGGAATAGCTCTGTATTAGAAATGGTCCCACAGCTTATACAAGTAACAGCAGCAAGAAATAGAACAGGAATTAACAGAGCCAAGTCTCAAAGGTTCCTTCTGACCAAAAAGACAATGTCCCCCCATGTCCTGATGGCACATCCCAACACTCTTCTAAGGACAGACTTGAGACAGCTGCTATCCACACCTTTTGGTTAGCATGTACTCATTTGTTTAGTGAGAGCTGGGAGAAAAAATTCACATCAGAGTTGAAGCAGCTGCAAAGAAATCCATCTAGGAAAATATGTGCTCAAAGAGAAATTTTGCTCAAAGGCATCAACAAGAGGGAGGAAAGGCTGTTTCTGTGGTGGGGCAGTGAGGCTGGGAGCACCTGTGTGCACAACTGCAGGACCACCTAACAACGAGGAGGCGCAGGAAAGAAGAAACACACTGTGCAAGGATAAAGCTGGGAATGAAAGCCCTGCTCCTTTAAGAGACATTCATCCTGCATTAAGAGTCCAACTACTTTTACATCTTCACTCTCAGAGCGTTTTCAGCACAAAGAGCTGTGCTGACAGCAGCTGTACAGGCTCAGCAGCAGCGCCGCAGTGACAGGACAGCCCATCAGCAAGGCCTGGCCAGTGCTGAATTTATCAAATGCAAATAAGAGGCAAACAGCCAGGACACCCCTTCAGAACTTGTCAATCTTAGAATGCACTCAGCTGTTAGAATATCATTAAATACTTTCAAGTGCAAAATATTTTCTGGGCTAAAAAATGTTTACCCTATAGAATTACTCATGTTTTACTGCACAAATAAGCTGTGTTGTCTTCTCTAGTACTGCTCATTTCCAGTATCAGAGGTCTGGACAAGTGTATCTACTAAGTTTGGTGTCTACTGTTTGTTTAATGCATAAAGGAACAGATAATTGCTTGAATTTGACTTGCTAAAAGCCAGGTCTCAAACTTACACCGCAGGATGGTGAGACAGGTTACCAATGGCCATACCAGTACTTCAGCAGTTTATAATAACAAGCCAGTTTGGGCTTTAAGGTGAAAAAGTAATTAGATGATTCATTAATTGAAGAGTCTCATGGAAGAGATGGAAATTTCAATAAGGTCAGAAACTGTAGGGAAATGCTGAAAAGCAAACTAGACAGGGGCTCGTCAGTGAGGTGTCTCATTATAGTGCAGGACTGCAGCTTGCAAAGAACAAGACATCAAACAAACAAAATATAAACATAAGGTGTTTCAGGGGGATTTCCAGGGAAAGTTTCCATTTAGGAGAGCTCTAGCACACTAACAGCTTTTATTATTTAAAAATTAAAAAAAAGAGACAAAATAAAACCGAAGAATCCCCAGTTTGTGTGAAAAGTGATGATGCATCACCATTTCAAACTTATTCATAGTTTCAAAAGAGTAACTTATATTTGATTTTCTTTGCCAGTATAGGGCTGAGAAATGTCCTGTGCTTTGATCAATTACATGGTTAGTATCACACAGGATAAATGGCAACTAATTTACATCAATACCAATACAATTAATTCATACAAAACATAGGGGGAATCCAGGAAATCAAATAACAGAGGAAAATGTCAACGATTACACAGTAACTGCATTAATTAAAGAGCTACGAACAGTTCAAATTGATAGTGATGAATTGTTTAAAAAATCCAAATTGCCTCCAAAGAAAAAGGCTCCACATTTTTCACAAAGGGTAGAAACATGCCAGGCTCAGGACGAGAGGCAGAGCTCTCTCACAGAGGAGCAGCAATGACCCATCTATTTCATTTCATTAGCAACGTCACTAAAGTTCACCCACTGCCACAAAGTCCATCCCAAGACCCTAAACCACCCTCAAAAGCAAAAAGGCCATAATCCATCAGCACCTAATATAAACAACAGTGCACTGGTAGCACTCCACACAGACTTTTGTTCCCAAGTTTTGCCAAGGAATGCAACACAGCTTTAA